AGCCTCATCTTTCTCCCGCAGAGCGGCTGGTAGTTTTGAACCGCTGACCTTAAGGTTCGCAGCCCGATTCATAACCACTACGCTACCAGAGCTCCATATATATATTACTCATAGGTTTCCCATTTTGTCCTGTTGGAGTCGTGTCATCAGCATGTCTCCTTTCTTGCCTCACGCCTCAGCCAGCCTCGAATTCGGGTGGAATGGCTGGTCCACTGACTAACAGGTGGGCACCAATCCTCTGTCCTGCTCCTAACAGCAACTGAAGGGCCGGGTCCTGGTGAAGGGCAAGAAGCTGCCACCTGCTCGGAGTGAAGATGAGCGGATATTATCGGACAGGGAAGATGAGGAGGAAGACGAGGAGGAAGAGGAGGTGGAGGCTGCAGAGCAGAGGCGGAAGCAGGTGAAGGAGTGGGGTGAATGAGTGAGCCTGGCCAAGGTGACATGGGGCAGGGGAAGGAAGGGAGGGAGGGCTAGGGGGCTGGAACCCCTCCCCTCCCCTCCTCCCAACCCTGGCTGAGGCTTCTCTCACAGGCCAAGCAGATCTCCCCAGAACTGTCTGCCCTGGTGGTGTACTGCTGCGCCACCCGCCTTCGGTCCCTACGCCCAGGGCCCACGCAGGCCCAGCCCTTCCAGGTCAGTTCCCTCAGTGAGCGCAAGGCAAAGAAGCTCATCCGAGAGACAGGTAAGAGTCAGGTGCTGGGCATGGCGCCTCTGGGAGAGGGTGGGAGGAGTGTCCTGAAGCTGATAAGGGAAGGAGGTTAGAGGGCTTTGGGGAGAGGGCAGTCAAACATTCAGGAGGACCCCAGAAAGGAACTTAGGGAATGAGCACCCACCCTGTGCCAGTATCCGAGGGAAGAGGGCACAGTCTCACGGTGGGCCAGGAATAGGGATAATATGGTAGTGGGTGACCAGGGCTGGCTCCTGAAATAGGAGATACCAGAGAAGCCTGGTGACCTGAAGGATGGGAGGAAGTGGTGATGAAGGGGGAGGGATTTGATTTCTAAGCAGGAAACCAGGAAAAACAGGTTGTACAGAGGCCTGGGAGCTAGTTCTGGGAATCTACAGAGTGGCTATTATGGCTGGAGGGTGGTGTGGGCTGAGTGAATGAAGAATGATAGGACATGCCAGCGGCAGTAAGCCAGGAAATGTCAGGTATGAGTCAGGAATGGAGGTGCAGTGCCAGACTGGATTGTGTGGCTGGAGTGTGTCTCTGTCTCTCTGGGCTCAGGAGCCTCCTCCCCAAAGTCCCCTTGCGACCCTGGGACTCCAAGGTCAGAGGAGAGACAGGCCCGGGGAGGGGGTGGGGTGTCTGAGTGGGGTGGAGGGATTAAAGTAACAGGGCCCCCACACTGTGTGAGGGCCACGCCACCCAAGGGCCCTCACAGTCCTCCCCTACCTTTCTCCCTTTCCTCCTCCAGGGAACAGCTTTGTCAGGCACAATGCTCGTCAGCTGACCCGCATCTACCCTCTAGGGCTGCGGATGAACTCAGCCAACTATAGTCCCCAGGAGATGTGGAACTCAGGCTGTCAGCTGGGTGAGGGAGTGGACCAGGGAGCTATGGGAAGCCTCAACTTCCCAGAAGGCAGAAAAACATGTTTTGTGAATAATAATCATTACGAGTTATCAGAAATGTATGTGGAAACAAGTTACACCTGTTTGTACCTGACGCATTTTTGTGAAGGTAGAAGTTAAAAACCTTCACTTGCATGTGCCTCCCCCCCCCCAACAACACACACACACCTGAGAGTCCCACCAAGTCCTAAGAGGAAGACAGACCTGCTGAGGGAGGGGAGTATAGCTCCCTTGGGGGCTGGTATGGAGATGTCCCATCCCAGTACTGCCTTTGGGCCTTGACGGATAGGTGACAGTAGGGACTAGGTCCTCTGGCTGCCATGAGTCCTCCCCCCAAATCCCTGAAGGTGAGCCCTGAGGAGGGAACACTCAAGTCCCTGCCCTGTCTGTCCCTACTGTGTTCCCAGTGGCCCTGAACTTCCAGACACCTGGCTATGAGATGGACCTCAATGCCGGGCGCTTCCTCACCAATGGCCAATGTGGTTACGTCCTGAAGCCCTCCTGTCTGCGCCAACTCGACACAACCTTTGACCCCGAGTGTCCTGGACCCCCCAGGACCGTGCTCACCATCAAGGTCAGCAGCCTGGGCCAAAACCCAGCTCTGTGCCGAGCTATCTGGGAGAGGCAGCTGTCTGAGTGACGGCCGGGCAGGCGGGCCCAGAGGGACCCAGGCTGAAGCAGCCCTCGGCTCCCTCCCAGGTACTGACAGCACAGCAACTGCCCAAGCTGAATGCAGAGAAGCCCAGCTCCATAGTGGACCCCCTGGTGCGCGTTGAGATCCATGGGGTGCCGGCAGACTGCGCGCACAAGGAGACTGACTATGTGCTCAACAATGGTGGGTGGACCTGGCTGGTGAGCAGGGAGGGCTGTGGGGTGGACTCAAGGGGCCCAGGGGCTCTGACCCCTGCCTCTTCCTTAGGCTTCAATCCGTGCTGGGAACAGACCCTGGAGTTCCAACTGCGGGTTCCAGAGCTGGTGCTGGTCCGGTTTGTGGTGGAAGACTATGATGCCACCTCCTCCAATGACTTTGTGGGCCAGTTTACACTGCCTCTGAACAGCCTGAAGCAAGGTGGGCAGGGATGGTGGGAGGTGAGGATGGAAAGGGAGGGAGCCTGGGCAGTAGGCCCTGCCACCTTCATGTCTGGTACTTCCTGAGAGAACCTGGGACCAAGCACCAGGTAGGATGTAGTTTTGCCAGGTGGTGGGCAAGTGTACCTGATCCTTCCCTGCAGGGTACCGCCACATCCACCTGCTCTCCAAGGATGGGACCTCACTGTCACCGGCCACACTTTTTGTCCACATCCGGATCCAGCACTCCTGAGGCTTGGCCTGGCCCTGTGGCAGATGCCTCTCTCCATGGAGTGAGGAGCCATGGGAGCATCTCCAGTCACTCACCCACCGCTCTGGTCTCAGTCCTCTGAGAACCAGTGGTGGATCTTTGTCCAACAGAGTGGCTGACGGGACTGGTGTGCTCCAACCCCTGGGTCCTTGGATGGTTCCAGCTCCTCTGGTCCTCGCCACCTCTCTCACTGTGGCTCATGAAGAGCATGCCTGCTCTTTTCGGGAGATGTGTGGACTTCAGCCTGCTCTGCCCTCTAGTTTCCGTTCCCTCGAAGAGGTCCAGCCACTCTCCCTGAACTCCACTTCTCCCCCCATCATCTTCCCCATTACCAAACTCTTGAACCTGGTCTCCGTCCCTTCTTCAAGCCAAAGGGAGTGCTGAGACTCAGAGCTCTGAGAACACCTGGTCAGAGGTTTTAACTTGTGTCACAATAGAGTCCTGGAGAGGACGATAGAACTAGACAGCGTGCTTTGAAAAATAAAGCAGCAGGTTTATTTGAGTCCTGCCATCCCCTGAGCACCTCTGACATCCACAGGCCCGGGAGACCTGGACCTGGGCATCATTGCTAAGCAGGGCTTTTCTAAGACTGTGGGTGTGGGGGGCTAGAGGAGATACCACAGCTTGAAATAGCTGACCCTTCCTCTTGGGTTAGAACTGTTGCCAGCATCACAAGACTGCCCTGGACACTTAATTCACACAGCCACCCTACCCACATCTCCCCCCACTCCCTGCTTCTGAATGGAGAGAGAGCAGAGAGCCAGGTTCTGGCAGGGCAGAACTACTCAGAGGGAACCTCAACCAAGCCCCACTTTGCAGGCTCAACAAAGGCCCCCATCAGCTCAGCAGGGCAAACCCCAGGGACTTGGGGCTCCCCTTCCAGTAGCCTTGTAAGCATAGGCTGCCTCTACAGAGATGCTGGGCGGACAGACCAACATACCAGGTAACAAAGACAAATGAGCAAACCCTGCCCAGACCTGCCGGCAGATTTCACGGGCTTGCACCTGAAGCCCTGGTATTTTAGGTTTCCACAGGCACCAGCACTAAACAAGAAGCAGAGCTGATGGCAGTTCCCAGGTGGCCCTAGAATCACGCTGGGTGAGGGTCTGAATTGGCCACAAGCTCCTATGAACCCAAACCTGGGACCCGGCCTGTCCTAACCTTCCTGTGCCTGTGACTGACACAGGGCTTGGCAGCTGCGCTCAGCTTAGCTTGGGCATGGCATTTTGTGCTGATGAATTCCTGTGTCTGAAGGAAGATACTCAGAATTTCAAGGAGCCCAGGTCCAGGAACCATGGAGTGGGCTGGGCATGAGGTAGCACAGCCAGAAGGGCTGAAGGTGGGGGCAAGGAGAACAAGCACAGCTCTAGTGCCCCGAGAACAAGTGGGGTTACCTAGGGCCTGCAGAAAGGAGCTCTGGTAGAGGAGTGGTTACGACATGGCCAGCAGTTAGAAACTACCAGCTGTTCTGCAGGAGAAAGATGAGGCTTTCTGTTCCTGTAAAGATTCACAGCCTCAGAAACCCTGTTACAGGGTCGCTATGAGTCGGAACCGACTCAATGGCACATAACAACAACAGTGCCTGCAGAGCCAGCTCTGGTCAGCTCCAGTCCATTTCTCTTTGGTGTAGCAAGTTGTTAGCGCCATCGAGTCAATTCTGACTTACAGTAACTCCGTATAGGGTTTCTGAGGAACAGCTCACGGTGAGTTTGAACCACAGGCAATTCAAACCAATCTTATGGTTGAGCACTGTACCAGGGCAGTGTTTATTACTGAGACACGTGCCCCAGATCTGAGAAACCCACCTGTAAGGGCAAGAATCTGAGGCTAGAAAGTTGAACGGAATGAGAGGTGGCTGCAAAGGAGAAATCACAGCTTTCACCTGGAGGTGCCTGGGTGGAGACCACCCACACGGCTGTGCTCTCCCAGCCCAAAGCTAAGAGTGAGAATGAAAACTTAAGCTTCTAGGAGGCTCCCGGGTTGGGTGTGGGCTCAGGAGTCCTCTGCGAGAGGCCTCAGAGGCAATGCTCAAAGTGGGTCCTGCAGCTCAGCACCCAAGAGGTCTAGAAAGCAGCTCAGAAGCTCTAGCCCCAGCTAAGACTGGCAACTGCGGTGAAGGTGAGCTAGACCCATAGATGATATTTGGCTTGCCCTGAGATCTGATTCAGGTGGTCTGGGAGGGGCCTAGTGGTGGCTGCATTAACAAGCACCCCGAGGTTTGTGAGAACCCACAAGGGCCTTCACCCCACGGGGTCCTCTGCTAGGGGCTCAGGTGCTGGCTCAGAACCCAGCTGCTCCTCTTTCATGGAGTGAGCTGCTCCCCAGTTGGAAAAAGAGCCAAGGGCAAGCTTGCCCAAGGGCCGCTGTCCCAAGTTGCCCTGCATGAGGAGCCCGGTCTTGCTGGCCTCCTCATCCTCAGGATGAGATGATGCTCTCCTCCCAGTCCGAATGCCATTGTCCCACTGGCGCCTGCTGACCAGAGGAAAACCAAGAGGGCCAAGTTTGTTCAGTTGCGTCCTTTATTAGAAACAAATGAGATGTATCCATGGACCAACAACGCATTTGGTGTTTCCTCCCCTCCACCACCCCCACCCCCTGGAAATGGATGTCCCTCACACAGCTCAAAGACAAGACAAAAGGGGGAAGCTGTCCTACCTTGTCCTTGTTCCCCAGATGCAGCACCTGCCTGCCAGCCCATTCTGAATTTACTTGAGTGGACTAGTCCCTGGTCAAATGTTAGTCACCCAGGTGAGGGAGGGTTATGGCAAGGGAGTAATAGCAGGCCAGGCCTGAAATTTTGTATAAACCTGGGTGTTGAAGTGGCTTGGTATGGACTGGCCTCCAAACAAGACATCGGTCTTCAGAAGCAGACACTGGAGACGGGGGGGGGGGGGGGGGGGGGGGGGGTAAGGGATGAGCCCTGTCTCCCCCAGTGCTGAGCAGAGACTCATTTACCCCAGTAGTTTCCCTCAGAGACCATCGTTGGTGGGAACGTGCCATGAGAGCAATGGTCAAATGCAGTTAATCCAAAGGCAGGAGGTAAGAAAGTGTCCAAAACAAAAGCCCAATGCCAGCATGAATACTGGGGCAGGGAGTGAGGACCAAGTTCAGGAAGGCCCTCCAGTAGCGGCTGCCTGAAGGGTCTCTGGCACATGAGCCTGGAAGCCCATAGTCCTTGCCTTGCTTGGTTCGTGTCCGTCACGGCACCACCCTACTGCAAGGCCCCTTGGTCAAGACCCTGTATCTGATAGGATCTATGGAATGGTTTTCTGTGCACTCTGACCCAAAGTTCTGGAAGGGAGCAAGTGAAGGGCCCAGGGTATTTGAACAAGAGCAGCCACTGAGCTGGCCTGAAAACTTGGGCAGCAAGCATCCCCATCGTGAAATATCAGGAATTCATGAAACTGGCCACATGGTTTGGGAGGAGACAGACACTGGGTTTCTGGCAGGAGATCTGTTTCTTCCAGAGCAGCCACCTGAGCCTCTGTGTTTCAATTCCATGACCTGGGTCAACCAAGGCAAAGCACACTCCACAAACGCTACGGAACACCCAAATCTCACTGCAGCAGCTCTGGATGGAAGCTGACCCAGAGCAGAAAAAACTCGGGTGGCTTTTCCAACTTGCAGCTCCTGCCCAAGGGAGGAAAGAGTTGGACACTTTATTCTTTGATGTCCTTAAAGGTTTGGCTGGACAGGGTGTGAGCTGCTTGGAAGCTGCAGTTGCTGCATCGCATGTAGGTCAGGCTGTGAACGCAGTTCAGTGCCTTCAACTTCTCATCTGCAGAATGCAGCACACACCTTGCTGAGGACAGCTGCTTCTTTGGTCTGGGTTCTTGTAGTCAAGGAGCCAGAGGTCAGCCCGAAAAACAGGGGCGGGTGGGGGCGCCCTGAGACCTCTGATGAAAATCCGATATGTGGAGTTGCTGGCTCTAACGGGCAGAGAATGGGCAGCATTCTTGTTGATATCCCCACCCCAAGCACATGAATCCCCCAGCTTTGGGGACTCTGCAGAATTAGCTTCTAGCACACCTCTGTCCAAACTAACACCTGAAAATCAAGCCCTGTCTCTGCAGAGTGACTTCAGTTCGCGGGACCAAGCTGGGCCTGCCTCCTGGCTAAGGCTTCAGTCCCTCAAAAAGCTGAGAGGTGAAAGCCGCAAGGAAACCCCATGTGACCCACCCATTTACATTTTCCTAGAGCCTGAGTTATGGCCAGGCCTGGATATAGGGGCTAGCAAGCGTACAGCCCAGTTCTCCCCAAGCCACCTGGTGGAGCACAACCAAGAAATACCCTGGTGGAGAGCCATGTGCCCAGAGGCTCCAGTTCTGTTTTGGAAAACTGGCAGGCATCAACCACCACCATCACCCACAAAACCTCATCCGTGAAAATCAGACTTGGCCCCTGGCGATGGGAAATCATTTCTGCAGTCCCGTCCAGACCTTCCTGTCCTCACCATTCCTTGCAGTTACAACGAGCAGGGGCCGACAGGCTGACAGGCCCAGGCTGCGTACAGGCCCCACATCCTGCCTAGCCAAACATCTGTCACACCAGTACTCTTTTTCAGGCCGCAGGAAAGCCAGATCTCACCAGGGACTCATCTCTGTCTAAAGAGTCCTTTCATTCAGTCAGCAGGGGCTGGATGAGTGAAGTCTGCCTCCACCTGCTGCAGGAAAGCCCTGATGGTGGGCCAACCATCCAGGAGCCCCACCTGCCATTCCGAGAGATCCGGGCCCTCCCCCACCTGGCAGAACCTCGCTGTGCTTTCCCCTTTGCAAAGCCAGTCATTCCAGCTGATCCTGAAGAACTACTACGGAGGACTCCCCAGATCCTCTCTCCTGCTTCCCGGAAGAAACAATTCCTGCTGTCAGTCTGGCACTGTCCTTGGGTTCTAATTTTCAGGAATGATCTGGATACAACTTTCCATTGGAGACCAAACATCCTCGTACATTTGGAACATGAACGATATTTAAAATATTTATATATATATAATATATATATACTTTTATTATTCACCCGTTAACTCCATAATATGCCAATCACAAGCTAGTTTTCAGCAGTTACATTCCCTTGATCACGGCTGCATGACGATGTGATTAATTGGAAAACAGACCAGAGACATGGCCAGAGGTGGCGTCATGCAGCTACGCCATCTCAGTACAGCTGTCAAATTCAGTGGCGGTTTGGTAAAGCCGGTTCAGTTCTGTTCCCTTAGTCAGGGATTCTCACATTTGTGAAAATTGAACCAACAAGTAGTGGGGTTCCAGCTCCTGGTTTGAATTCTCAGTGGCTTTATCCAGAATCTCACTGGTAGCTGGTTACTGTAATACCAGTCCAACCTAGGAGAACCAACAGGAAAAGGCAGAGCTGAGACAAAGGTTGTCCAAAGAACCACTTCCCCATCCTGGCCTGAAGTTCCCACTGATTGAGCCACCGACGCCACCTGTGTGGTGGGATCACATTTCCACCAGAGCCCCTCACCCAACCTCCAGTGTTTACACAGCTATCAGATGCTTCCTTGAAGCCCACCCAGTCAGCATCCTGAAGGACAACTAGTCAGAAGGTCTCCCTCAGCAGGCCTGCCATGGTGACCTGGGGGCTGGGAGCAGAGGGGTGAGGAGGGAAGAGCTATGCAAGCCTCACATAGAGTGGAGGGCAGTAGCCCAGTAGAGGAGAGGCCGACCACTGGGTTCTCCGGCTGAGCTTCCTGGCTAACTTTTCCTCAGTCAGTCTGAAATGGTCCATATCTAGTCAGCTGGGTGGCTCACACCAGCTGCTGACGGGGGAATGCTGACCCTTCTGGCCTGGCCATTGGGAGACCAAGCACCAGCTAACCAGGGCCCAGGCTGCTGCTGTAACCCACACCTGTGACCCTGACTGCTAGAGACACCGACTCCCTGGCAGCCTTGGTGGAAGGCTGTCCATGGCTGAAAGGCAGCATGTACCTTCTCTGCTCCCATGCTGGGGCACTTCCAATTGTAAAGATAATACTGCAGGTTGCCATCTCCTATGCCGAACTTGAGCTTCTCCAGGAAGGTTTTGTTCTCCATGAGATCCAGTGCATTGAACACGTCAAACCCTTTCTGCCCGGTGCCAGAGAAAAACAAGAAGGCGTCAGACGGAGGCTGCCTTCCCTTCCTGCCCGCTCTCAATCTAGGGCTTCAAATCGGTTCTTCCTATTTCAGTCAAGGTTGACAAAGTTAAACTGTGACAAACCCAAATTTATAAAATGTGAGTATATCGGAACAGGAAAAATTATGGGTCGACATCGTACTAGAAACTTAATCTCCCTCCTAGAAAACAAGGGCAACATGTATTTTGCATGGCAACCAAATTTCTGGATCAGCAGAGTCTGCAACAATATGGCAGCTCAAAGATGGCAGCCAAGTGCATTTATTTAAATATGTGTTGTTCTCCACAGTCCTGGCCATAACCCAATCTATTGCATCAGGCTTCTGAAAGGAGCCTCTTCCAAGTCTCCCATTCCAGGACTTTAACCTATAATTTCCCCAATTCCGGTTAAGGTTCAGGTACATCACACATTTTACAAATTTGGGCCTGATCCAATCTTGCTGCATTCGCCATGACGGAACTGATTAAAAACCCGGCCTCAATCATATCTAAGTCTCCCACAGGCAACCCTGAGCACGACATTCCTCCAGAAGCAACCCCGGCTGATACGTCAAAGCCAAGTTTCTGTAAATGCCCAGCTCTCCAGGATGCACCCTCATGGCATCCTGAGCACCATCCCTCCAGCCTGACCTCTCCTCAGCGTTCCTCTGAGCACATATTGTTCCTTGTTAAGCCTCCCAAAGACACTTTGCAGTGAAATCCATAGTCCTCTCTGGAGAAGGCATCATGCATAGTAAAGTGGAGGGTCAGCGAACAAGAGGAAGACCCTCAACAAGATGGTTAGACACAGTAGCTGCAATACTGGGCTCAGACATGCCAATGACTGAGGATGGCGTAGGACCAGGTTGTGGTTCCTTCTGTTATACATGAGGTCATCATGAATTGGCACCTAACAACAAGTGGAGATCAAGCCTGACTCCCATCAGCTACTTGGAATTGGCATAGGCCTTTGGTGTATACTGTGGGACTTAATGACCCCTGACATGTTGCTTTGAGACCATAAAGTACATTAGATACTACCTCAATCTCACCAACTGGATCAGCTAGCTCTCAGAGGGCAGGGACCAGGTTGACCACGTTGGGCCTGCGCACACCGTGCTGGGCACAGGGCAAGAAGGTACCCAGAACCACAGGATGAAGGGGTAACAGTAGCCGGGGCCCTCCATCCCACCCATGCTGTATGGCCAGATGACCCAAGAGAAAGCCATCTCTCTAGCCCCACACTGGGGAAGTCATATGAACCCTTTACGCCCATAGCAAGCCTGGCTACTATTCAGGCTCCTTGGCAGCATCTCCTGTGGGAACGAAACCCACTGAAATCAATGAGGAGGAGTCCGTGCGCGCACTTTGTCTGGATGCTCTTGTTCCCGCCTACTTTCAAGTTGAAGGCCAGGAGCTACTACTGAGACTCTACTTAAGCAGACCGAGAAGGTTTAGGCTCAAAGCCTCCCACCCCACAAGCAGCTACCTCCTGGGAACTGTGCTAGCCAGCAATCCACTACTCTGGTCCTGCAGATCTCTGGAAAAGTCCTCTAGTTTGCTCCTCACCATTTTGGCGAGAACAAGGGCATCGCTCATGAGGTCTAGAAGAGGGGTCTGGGTGTGAACGTTGTAGAAAGAATAAGCAGCTTTCAGACTCTTGTGGGTCGGATGGTTCATGATGGTGGAGGGAAGGGTGTAAAAGCTCAGGAAGTCCGTCACCTCACCATTTGCGTTCTGAAGGAAAGACAACAAAGGAAGCTCTGTCACACTCAGGGATACTGCAGGCTGCAACAAATGGATCCTACCACTCACATCCCCATTAGGCGGCGCTGGGGTGGACATGGATGTGGGATCTGCACGGAGCAAGGAAAGGTACTGGCCGAGGGCACTAGCAGAGAACCAGGTGGTGAATCTAGGTAGGACTCTGGATTGAGCCTGTGAAACTCTCCTTGCTTGGGACCTCTTGTTGCCACTCACCTCTCAGACTGTGCCCCCAATGTTTGGTTAGCACCAGATCAAGCTGGGACAGGCAGGGAGTCCAAGGCTTACTTGACTTATTAAGAGGGGCTCAGTTCTACTCTCTGGTACTACCAGGAGGAGGTGGGACGCAACGAAGGGCTGCAGCCAGTCCACAGAGTCTCACTTGGAACAAATGCAAGCTATGACTCTTCTTGTCTTAGGGTGGACCACACATGGATAGGTAAGGAAGTCTAGGGTATCAATGCTCCTGTCATGGAACCTTCAGACACTGAGCCCTGGAAACCCAGCCACCCAAGGAGGACAGCTCCCTGTGAATGAGGCAGATGCCCAGTACCACTCCTGTCCCCACTCACCTCCACCACAAAAGTGTCAATGATATTCTCCTGGGGGAAGAACCAGTGCTCTACCTCCTCCTGGCTCATGACTGGCGTGAGGTGGAACTGCTTCAAGTACCGGGTGAGGAGCTGATGCACTACTGGAATGTCCTTCTTCTCCATTGGTCGCAACCCAGCTGTCTTGGGAGTCTGGAAGGAAGAAATCGTGCACATCAGATGTGTTGTGTGGAGAGTCTCCTCTCCCCTGACTGTGAGCAGACTGACTAGTGACGGGAAGGACTCAGGAGAGAGTTCTGATCACAGGTTCCTGCGGTCTGGCTGGCACAATGGAAGCAGTGCCCTGGATCTCAGCACTCAGGACAAGGGACTACCTGGCCTTGCTTGCCCCATGGACGTGCTGAAGCTCTCCCAGCAGTGCTCCTTACAGGCCTGTGCACACACAGCTCCCCCGGTTCCTCTCCCGAACCCCAGTCCTCACACTGCATGCTCACTGACCCTCTCTACCCCCACTGGTGATTTGCCTACTAAACTCACAGCACTCAGACAGGGCCCATCTCCAAGCCAGCCCTAGATGTACACACTGCCTGTCCTTCAGACCCTACAGCATCAGCAGTGCCCCCTAGAGGACACCGCACATTACATTCACACAAAAAGCAGACATTGTGCTAGTTTTCATCTCAGACCAGAACCCCATAGCACAGCTGCTTTCCCAGAGAACACGCTTCAGTGGAATGAGACCATGTGTTCCAATGCAGCAAGTGCTAGGATGGATGGTGCCTCCCTAGAGGCTCAGATAACGTAAACGTGGGTAAGGCCAAGTCCCACATAGGGCAGGGCCTGCAGCCTCTGAAAGTCCTTGCTAACCCTGGCCTCCCTAGAGAACAGTTTATCACCTTGCTTCTACACAGCATCTCCCCGTGCCACCTCATGTCCTGGGAGTACCCAGATGGGGAAGGCTTCTGGCAGCGACACATTAGGAGCACTCTCTACCTATCTGCCGAGGATATAGGTCAAATCTGTCAGGACACAAGGGCAAAAACACACATCATGGCCTCCAAAACCCGTTTCTGGGCACAATGTCCAATCTCACTGCATCCGTGTCATAAGACAGCACCCTAACAAACCTAATCCTCAGACAGATGAGAGCTATTCCAGGGGGATGAATCCAGTTTGGGGGCTGATGAACCCAGGTAGGCATTCATCAGACTGACTACTGACTGGAAGGACTCAGAAGAAACTCTGGTGCTGTAAGATCAGCACTAGACCACAAGGTCAGTTTGAACTGCAAGGTCAACAGTTCAAACTCACTAGCCGCTTCTAAGAAACCCTATACAAGGTCTGATTCAGAACCGACTCAACAATACTTCACAACAACAACCATGCACTGCTGATGCCAGGCACAAGTGGAGAATGGGGAGCATTTGCTTCTTTGGGAAACCAGGGAAACGAAGACCCAAAATAGAAACACAGCTCCCCTGGACTTGCTCAGTGCTTTAGTGGTGAAGTCTGGATGTAAGGACTGGGGTTAGAAACCTAGGCTCCTTAGTAGAGGGGAGCAGAAGACAGTCTGTACGTGAAAACTCAGCATGTGGACACACCATTGTAGTCATGCTCACTCAGGCTACAGCGACAGAGAATGAGGATTTTCCCTTAACTCCTTGGCAGATGGCAGGGAAGCTGGCTGCAGCACACACTCATGAGAACTGAGAGAGATGAAGTAAAACAGCCCTGGTGGCACAATGGCTAAGTGCTCAGATGGTAACTGAAAGGTCATCTGTTCAAACCCACCAGCCACTCCAAAGGAGAAAGATGTATCAGTTGGCTTCTGCAAACATTTCAGTCTTGGAAACCCTATGGGGTGGCTCTCCCCTCTCCTACAGGGTCACCACAAGTAGAAATCAACTCAATATGGCTGACTGCTACAGACATCCAAGAGGACAGAAGCGGCAAGTCTAGGACTCCAGCACCCTCCCCCGACGGCCCCAGGGCCCCACTGGCCTCGGGCAGCCGGTAGAGCTTCATGGTTCGCTGCATGGTCATATTTCTGCTCAGGTGGGAGAACTTCACTTCAATCAGCTTCCGAGGGTTTAGGGACCGATGCCAATACCTGTGGGGACACAAATGCCAGTCCCATTAAGACGATGGCATGGAGATCTCAGGATGGCCAGCAGGTGGCAGAAGAGACATGTCAGGCTCCATGTGAACCAGTGGTGCCCCAGCTGGCTCACCAACCTCCACAGAGTCCTATTTTCTTCCTCAATTTCAAAAGTCACTTCTTTGTGGCAGCTGCTGTCTGGGCACAGCAATCCTCACACTGGAGTCAAGCTGATGGAAAACTCATTCCTCTCATCCTCCTGATCTACACTTAAGTAGTGGTGGCACCTTAGGTGGGAACCATTCAACAGTCTGGAAGGACTTTCTAAAGGCAGAGGCTGCACACCAGGTGTCCTGGGGCTGCAAGGGGAGGGACCTGACACTGCTCTGGCCCACACAATATTCAAAGCAAAAGTGAGCCCACCATAAAAAATAAAAATAAAAAAAATTGAAGACACTTCTTATCAAACTCCAGAAGCTACAGCCAGATCTCCCTCCCCTTCCAAAGGGCAGCAGTCATCTGGGCTGAGAAGAGCTGGCCCCTTTAGACAGGACATGCACTTTCCACAACCCTCCCATTGCCCCAGAGCAGAAAAGTGAGATGCCTCTGTGCAGGTACTGAGCTGGGACTCCAGTGATGGCCTCTCAACCAGAGTGAAGAGCAAGACGTGATTTTCACCTGCAGGTGCCAACAGGCTTTGGTAGTACCACACCGGCAGTATAAACAGCTTGGAAAATGCCCTCCAAGTGAACCCGCCGGGTTATCTCTCGGATGAGGACTGGAGCCACCCTCTTGGAGCGCAGCTTCTTGTGGACACACAGGAAGTTGATCTCCACCATCTTCTTCTCTCTGAAGGGGGAGGAAAAGATTAGGCGACCAGGCTTTTAACAGGGAAAGGTGATGCTCTGGAGCCACACCTAGAGGGGTGGACCTTCAGCACAGGCATGCAATCTACTACCACCTGCTCTTAGCAAGCCCAGACCTTGGACCGTCACTGTTCTAACAGCTCCCACTGGTGAAAACTCAGACTCGCTGCCATCGAGTCAACTCCAACTCACAGCAACCTTGGATAGGGTTTCTGAAACTGTCAACCTCTACAGAAGCAGAAAGCCCTATCGTCCTCTCAAGGATTTGAACTGCGTCAAGTAGTCATCTTACAGCATCTGCTTATTCCTCCACACAGACCCAATTCCAAAGGAAAGTGCAACTAAAGTAGGCTTCTTTATCTGAAAGCAGCCCCAGCATCTTCCTGATTCATCCCTGAAAGAGCTGGGGCTGGGGCTGGGGGCATCCCACCTTTAAGACACAACCATTCAAGAGTAAGCAAAGGTTTTTCTAGAATTTCAAGGTTCTCATTCCCGTAAGTATCCATGACCTAGAAGCCTGGGGCAGATAATTCTGAGGTTTTCAGGGAAAAACAAGAGCAGTGAATGACAGCCCAATGGCTGTGGGAATCTGGGTCACATGCTCTCCAACCTACTTGTGAAGCTGCACAAGTGCCTCAGCAGAGGAGCACTGCAAGAGTCTCAACTAAAACAAACCTGTCCAGGGGCTGGAGCCCAGAAAGAAGTGGCCGGTTGGTCTGACGTGCAGGGAAGTGTATACAAACTCCAAACTTGCAGCCAGTACCCATTTGACCTAGCTTGGATGGCTAGCTGACCAGAATTCAACCAGATGATGATAAAGATGCTTGATACTGTGAACAAGTGTATATTGCTACCATTTGATGAACCGGCCCTTTGCAGGTGCCCAAACTTCCAAATGGCTGCAATGATTCTTCATATCACGGAACAAGCTTGTTTCCTCAGTGCCTTGGGTTGTTAGAGACGGGCAATTTAGACATTGGCTATCAAAAGTGGGGGGCAGCTAGGGGAAGGTAGAATCCCCATTGAAGAGTTTTCATCTTGTTTGGTGAAAGGAGGTCGGGCTAGGACTCTTGATTGAACAGTGAGTGTGACCATGACTAATTGCGATCGTCAATTGTAAAGGTAGAAGTTTTATAACATAAAGGGGGAGTACTTAATCTTATAGTCCAGGAACAGAGGACCCTAGGACCATCAAGGGAGTAGAACATAAGTGGAATAGGGGACCCTAACTAGAGAAGTAGTGACACCAGAGATAGAGACACACATGATAACATGATGAGAGAGAGAGAGAAAACATCTAAGGACTCTAGACTCATAGAAAGAAAAAGGCTGTGTGCTCATGGCCAGGAGGTAGGCTTGTAGAATGTGCCCTTTGTTTTTGTGGGGTTTTAAAAGTTTTTATTGTTAACTGAGTAAAAGTTTACAAGGCAGATCATCAGTTTTACATTCAACAGATCATATACTTTATTTCATTACAATGATTATAATCCCCTCCACGTACCATCAGTTAACAATATTTCTATTCATTTTAGCTTTTTTTTTTTTTTTTCAACACTCAGGCATATATAATAATTTAAACCACCAAAGGGCACATTCTGCAAGCCTGCCTCCTGGCCACCAATTCTCAGTCCTTCTCGTCCCATGAATCTAGAGTTCTAGCTGCTCCCTCTCTCCATGTCCCCATCTCTGCCTCCACCTCTGGTGTTGCTGCTTCTCTGGATAAGGTCCTGCATTACACTTGTGCTCTTCTCCTTTGATGGTCCTAGGGTCCTCTGTTTCTGGACTATAAGATTATCTACTCCCCTGTTTTTGTTGCTAAACTTCTACCTTTACCATTGTGAAAGTCGCAATTAGTCATGACAGCAATTACTCACTATTGACTCATAAGAATCTTATCCCCATCTCTTCTTACCAGATCTAGACAAGATGAAAACTATTCAGTGGGGACTCTATCTCCCCCCACACACTCTTAAACTAAAGCCCCTCTTGAAACTTGTAATCCAGTCACTTCATGCCTTTATCGCCCCCTCATTTTAGGTAGCCAATGTCTCAGTTGCCCGTCCCTATCTACTCTGTATACAGAAGGGATAGCATTGATACTTGATGTGCAGACTCCTTCTCGGTTTTTTTTTTTTTTGAGCTACTACATCCATAAGTATTGGTCAAGTTCATCAAATTGTAGCAATTTAACTTCCTTTCCTTTACCCCCCCCCCCAAATTTTTTTTTTAAATCTTCCTCCAGTCGAGTTCTGATCTGCAAACCATCGAGGCTAGGTCAAATGGGTACTAAGTGCAAGTTTGGGTGTTCTTGTGCATCTCCCCTCTCTTCTTATCAGCTGGATGCTTCACTCTCAGCTCTAGCCCTCTGTGGCTATGGCCTTGTCTATGGGCTCAGGTATCCCCAGGTCTCACCACACTTTGGACCAACCAGATCTTCCTTTTCTCCTTCTCATCTCCAGGTCAATGGGAGTCTATGGAACATGGTTGAACTCAGCCCATTTCTTCATTGCTGCCTTTCCTCCTCTTCTACTCACCAGGAGACCAATGTGGACGCCAGCAAGCTTACATGCCCACTCATGTGTTCCCTTTGAGTTTTAGTCTTAGAGGGAGGTTTGTCCTGAAGGACTTGATCACTTGCCTTGATGGCTTTCCAGCAAATAACTTGCTTATTCTTGTAGTAGCCTATGAAACTGCCATTTTTGTTTTGGGTTTTTCCTGCTGATCTTTCTTTAAAGATGTATCTTCTGTCACTCTAGCTGTTCCAGGCTGGTCTGCTTGTCCTTTCTGGTGGGAATGCCAGAAGGTTCTGGATGGAGCTCAGAATACCACCTAAAGTCCTACACACTGCAAAGCCTCCACAAGAGGCCTGTTTCACTGGGCAGGCTGTAGAACATCTTTTAGGTATTCCAGTTAGTTATAGGCTGAAGATGGGCTTTTAAGCTTTCTGTAATCATGTTTCCCGACATTCTTTTCTATCCCACTCATGTGTCTATTTTACAATAGCAGGCAAGGGAAACCAATATTTATAAGACAGTCACACATCTTAGTATTATTTCTCCAGAATGCGCCCTTTGGTTGTTTAAATGATTATATATTTCTAACGTTTTTGTGTACACTGAAAAAACCAGAGGGAATAGAAAAAAAAAAGGGGGGCCTATAAGGGCACAAAGTGGCTGGTTTATAAGCTTTCATGAGTGTGCTTAGTTTCAGAACGAGGGGGGTACGGTAGAATCCCCACTGAATAGTTTTCCTCTTCTCTAGACAGATCAGGTGAAATTAGATGGATGGAGGAGGATGGGGATTTGATGATTCAATTGTGAGTTAACTGTTAGCAGGATTATTGTGATTGTCACAGCTGTAATTGTAGAAAATGTGTAACTAAAAGGGGGTGGGGTGGGGGGAGTAAGCTTTCATCTCAGAAGCACTCCCAGAACCATCAAGAAGGAAGAACATAAGTGGAGTGTGAGATCCTACCTAGAAAAGTGGCCACATTAGAAAAGGTGGCAGAGGCGATGGCATGGATAGATAGAGCAACTCTAGGTTCGTGGACTAAGGCTGTGTGCCATGCGGGCATGCGGCTAGCTTGTAGAATATGCCCTTTGGACATTCAGATGCATTTTATTTTGTACATCAAATATTTTTGCTTTGTTCATTTATGAAATATAAGCTGTAAAAGGGAAATCATAGGGAGGAAGTAGGATAACTTGTTGCAGGGAGGGGACTTTAATCATTGAAATGAAACAAAGTATATAATGTAAAGCTGATGATCTTGTCTGTTAATCATCACTCGATTCACAATAAAAAGTTAAAAACAAACACAGCCAGCACATCAGCTCTCAAGCTGGGCCCCCACTTCCAGCCCAAGTCATAGCAACATAGAATTCCAATTCTCAAGACCCGGGTTTCCTCCCTTCATGAGGCCTTCCTCTTTCATTGGTGGTGGTCACGGTTGGGGCAGGAAACGAAAAGTGGGCTATCTTTCTTCTCTTCCCTCCCAGACCAAGCAGGGTGGTGGTGATGTGAAAGCTGAAGGTAGACCCAGGTGCTTACGTGTCATAGATGTGGATGTTTGCTGGGATGGCACTGATGAACCCAACCAGTTTCCGACTTGACACCACACGAACCCCGCAGTGCCACTGGGGGAGCCAGCCAGGTGGCCGGAGAGCCCTGGAGAGAAGACAGGGGCTAGGGTTGCGGTGCTGCTGGCTGGCGGTTAGAATGCCTGTTTTGGCTCCACAATGACCCACCCCCTTGGAACTTTATTTTTGGCCAAGTCCTCCAAGAGACTAGTAGAAGTGAGCCTTGGTCTCTTCTCTGCTTTGGTCCACTCACCCAATCCAAGGCTGGCATACTGCAGCTCTCACATCCCATCTCAGTTTCTCTGTGCTCATTTTGACAGCCTGAACAAGATGACAGAGAACTAGCCTCTGGGGGCTCAAGGCCAGTGGGTCCATGGTGGGGAGTGGATCACAGAGCCTCTGGAACTCTGACCTCCCACCTGCCTTTGTGGCACCACCACTTCCCTCCTGTTTGTCCATTCTTCCTTCTCTGCCCCTTTCAGGCAAGTCCTTGCCATTAGGGCCTTTTTGCCTCTATGTTCCTGGAAGTAAAGCCTGGCCCAGGCAGATGGATGGCTCAGCCAGGCAGGGTCCTTATCCTACAACCGCATGCTCACTGGATAGAAACGACCCTTTTTTTTCAATGGTAGTAGGTCGTCCTTCCCTTCATATATAAAGTCACCATACAATAGATGATCTTTTCTTTTAGGTACCAATTCTACTAAGTTCTTCCTTGTCCTGTCTAAATTTAGACAGCCATTCTGTCTAAATTAGGGTTCACTTCTAAGCTTCCTTCCCTGAAGGAGGTCTCCTTCAGATGTAGTGGGGACTCTGGCACCCTGTGGTTGTCCTGCTCTCTACCTTACTCTTAAGAACCCTAAGAAAACCTCTACAACTCACCACAAAAGAAATTCTGGGGAATAATCAAACCGGAACATGTTGTCATCATCTTCCACATAATTCTCATTCAGGAGGGTGTATAGCTCTTTTAGCTGTAAAGAAACAAGGCACTCTCTTAGATGCTATCTGCCAGGGAAGGGACCAACTTCAAAACCCTGAAGGACCAATCAAACCATCAAAATGCTTTGTTTAATTTCATGAATCCTTTTCACCCTGGACATGAAAGGTCCGCTTGGAACAAACACCCTACATGTAATGAAACTGAACCGTCTTGACTGACTTAAGGTACATAAAATAGCAGACCAAGAATGTCATCCAACTAGACAACCACTCCATCACTCTGACCAACAGTGGGGGTCTTCTGGGTTCTACTATAAAATTCTGTGGAATTACTGAGTCATTGCCATTTTCTACCATGTCTGGTTTTTATTTTCTGGCCCAACAAAAAAGCTTTGGGCCTTTTCCTGCTTTTCCAGCTGTCTGGGTCTACCAACTCATGTTTGGCATTAAAAACTTCTGTTCACATTTTCTAACATTCCTTACAAAGGAAACTAAACAAACAAACAAATAGGTGCTGGGTGGCTGGGGTGGGACAGGGAGGAGAAGTCCTCACTGAGCAGCACTAGCTCATCAGTTAAGATCCAACTTGAAGGAGGACATGGGAATGAGTATGAATGAAAAGAAAAAAAGAAAGAATGAATGAATGCAAGGATATCGATCTTGGGAAGCTACAGAGGTCAACTCTCCACATGTCAGAAAAAGCCAAGTGCTGTCTGTGTGTGGGGTCTGCTCAGGTCTGCTTGGTTCGGCTCTATATAGAAGTCCCTTCAGGAAGGCTTGGGGAGAGGCTGTCTGTGTGTGACTGCAGAGCTTACTGGGAAAACAGTACCCAACTTACATCTATGGCCTGCTTGGCCTACTCACCACACCACGGTCCCCCAGGTCCAAGGCATCCCACGTGAAGCCCTGGGGCAGGGTGTAGGGCTCCTGACGTATGTTGTCTTTGTCAGGCTCCACAGGGCCATGGGTGTTCACCACCTCTCCTGGAAGATGAATACAGCGGTGAGCCTCAGTGGCTCCTTGGGGAGGGAGGGACATCAGAGCAATTCCCCATTCCCAGGAGCCTGTCATCTGAAGTACACACTGTACTCAGCAACACAGCCCACAACGCCAGCTGCCCTTGGCCCCATACAAACTCTCAGAACAATCACTGGGACCATGGTGGTTAGTTTTCTGGAAACCCTTTCAAATGTCTTCTCAGTTACTGAATGACAAACATTTACTCTCCGAATTCGGCTTTGTGCCTCCTAGTTGGTGTAAAATGTGCTGTCAGGGCCTGGCCTGGGCCCATTGATTTGAGAGGATTTATAAGAAATTGCAACAAGGTTGCTTTTGTGTCCATAGCTCCAGCAAGTGCTGGGCCCATTCCTGAATCAGATGATGTATCTAGGCGCCAGGCTCAATCTTGGCTATTCCAGACCTAGCTTTCAACAATGGGGGTCAGATAATTGCCACTGCCAACCCAGGCCCTCAAGTGTTTTAGAGTCCCTGAGTGTTTAGGGCTTTGGGGCACAACAACAGAGTCTACAGGGAAGTGAGTTTGACACAATATCCCCTAGATAGCATGCCCCTCCCTCCTTGGTGGAGTGTGTGAGTGTGCTCAGAAGGTAACTTGGACAAATAGACTCACTAATGTTGGCCTGTGGGATTATTTTGTCTCTGTAGTTCTACATCACTCATGTTCACACTTAAGCAGGCATTTAGTACATCTTGAAAACTGAGTTGTCAAAAGGCTCCCATCTGTTCCTAGCAATAAAGCTCTGCATATACCAGGCACTCAATTCATGCTTTTACTGACATTCAGAGTCCTGGTCCAAACTTCATTCCAATGTATGAATTAACAGGCAGCTGGAGACCCTCCCCTTAGTCAGTGATCTGGGGGCAGGTGAATTGAACTGGCTCCAACAGCCTACAGCCTGAGAACCCGACCATCAGACTGACAGACTCACTCACTTCCATTCAACATGTTTCCTGAGCATCAACCATGGCCCAGACACCTGGCACTAGGACAGAGCAACGAGAAAGACAAAGTCCCTGTTCTCAAGCTGGGTCAAGAGTGACAAACTGGGAAGTGCAGACAATAACAGGGGCATCTGGCAGGAAAGCACCAAGCTACCATCCACGTTCCCCTAAGCTTTGCTTGCTTGCACAGTTACACTTTGTTTCCTTAGTAATGAAACTGATTTTTTGATTTATTTATTAGCCTTTGTGAGTCCAGTTGATGTAATTCAACTCACTACCAATTCACTATCATGTACAGAGACAAAACCAAATCTTGGAGCCTATGAAGCTAAGGACTATACCAGAGTTCAGTAGGGGCACCAGCATTTCTACCGATAGTCTTGTCTGGGTGGCCAGCCATTTTCCCACCTTGTGTTGAATTTATATATACCCTGTCCAAAATACATTTAGAACATTTTTTATTTTATTTATTTGTCCTAAGCAATTTCACGGCAAAGATACTGGTGGTCTTTCCTGGATTGGTTACAAAGCCCTATACACAGCAGGCATTTCCATTCATGCCCTTCTTCAATGAATGTTCAGTGAGTCCCAGAACGTATCAGTTCTGTGGCAGAAGCTGGCAAAGGAAATGACAAATATCCTCAATGATCACAGGCACCAAACAGACAAGCAGGCATATATGTAAGGCTGGACATGAACCTGGGGCCAATGACAGTCATTCCAAGGACTTTATCCTCAGGACTGGAGGATGGCAGAATGTCCTTAATGGGTTTTTAATTGAGAGTGGGGGATAGAGAGTGGTAGTAACAAGGTGCTTAGATTTGCATTTTAAAAAAGCACTTAGAAAGGGTGTTTACAGGCGGTATCACCCAATGAACTTTTTTTAACGCATTATTTAAATGGTAAATCTTTTGTTAAACCAGCTGTTATAGATTATCCAAAATTGTGGTATCGGCAACACAGAGCTGACACAGCAGAGTTACAGGGCAGTGTGAAAGAACAGTGGCCACTCTGAACAGTCTGGGGTGCCAACAAGGCAGAGACATGATCTGAGGGCTCGCACAGTCCTTCCCAGCTCCCAGTCCCATGGGTTTCTGCAGGGCGTACTCTGGCGTACCTACCTAAACGGCGTATGGTATTCCAAACGCTAACCTATTACTGCTATGCTACATTTCAAAGTACTTTACATTTAGTAAGCATGTGTTGGCTGAGAGACAAGAGGAAGAAGTTAGGGACTCTGTCCCTCCCTTATAAACATTTGCCCAGATAAACAAGACAGTCCTTCTACACAATCTATGTGGAAGACAAACCCCTGGGCAGACAACTCTGTTCATCCTATGCCAATACACTGTGTTTCACTGTAGGTTTATACTGGATGATGATGCATAAAAAGAATCATCAATTCTCTTTAATGCGTGCTATTACAACATGATAAAGTCCCTAAACAACAGTCTTTTCTCTAGTGAACACTAAAGACTATCTTCTAATAAGGCCCACCAAGGAACTCTGGGACCCACTGCCCTTTCTCACAGATCCAGCATGGAACCCTCATGGAAAGTTCACCGTCCCCATACCTGGGGAAGAAAGCACATACGTACCCAGTTTGGGGACAGGCTGTGTGTCCCAGAACTGATAGCTTCGCTTGCTAGCCTCTTCCATGGTTTTGGCAGGCCCCTGGCCCACTGAGAACAGTTCGATGGCCTTCTGTATTTCCTGGATCCTCTCTGGTGGCAAAGAATTCATCTGGGTAGGACAAAGTAGAGGAGAGAAAAGGCCCATTATGCGCCTAAGTACTTCTGATGAATTTCATGATTAAGAGTTAAGGGAAGTAGTGGGGGGTGGCTCCTCTGTCTTCTTTCCAGAGATGATCTGTGGTGTGACAACTAGAGAATGAGTGGTTGATGATGAACTCTCCAGAGAGTGTGTGTTTCCTATCGGGCTCCTCCCCTTGTTGTTGCTTGATGGCAAAAGTAATACATATTCACTGTGAAAAATTTCAATAATGAAGAAATATGTACTATATATACAAGTGAAAAAAAACCATCACCCTATCCCTCAAATAAGGAGTGCTGGTTATGACACTACAGGACAAGCACTGGACTGCTAATCACAAGGTCAGCAGTTCAAAACCAGTGCCACTCCTCAGAAATCCTACACAGGGTGGCAAAGAGTTGGAATCAACTCGATGGTTCTAACAACATCCCACAAATATAATCCTTATCATCTTAATTTGGCAGGGAGAGTGGGCAAAGGCATGTACGTTCCAAACACACATACACACTTTTCAAAAACTAAAATGGGATTGCACAATATTATTCTATACACATTTCTTCTTTAAAACCTTGTCTTAGAGACTTTCCCACTTGAGGACACGTAGACTCATTTCTAACAACTCAGTCCACTGCACAGACCACAATGGACAGAGCCAGCCGACTTCTGACGGGCATATTGGTGATTTACTTCTTTAGTTCTACAAGCAATACTATAAAGACTTTCTTTGTACATCTATTTTTGCTTCCTGAAATACATATGTCTGCCAAAGGGTATGCACATTTAAAATAATACTGTCAAGTCACTTTCTAAAAAGAAAATATTAATATTTTTTCCAGACCCTCATCACTGAGTCCTGGTGTGGCGCCGACCACAAGATCGGTTTGAACTGCAAGATTAGTGGTTCAAAACTCACCAGCCACTCCTTAGAAACCCTATAAAGGGTCGCTATGAGTCAGAACTAACACAATGGCACTGAACAACAACATCATCATTTGATATTACCAAACTTAACCTCTGTCACTCCAAGAGAAAAAACTGTTGTAATTTATATTTATTTCACTGAGAATTGAATTATCTTTAATACATTGATTGAACATTTGTAATTTTTTCTTTGCAAGCTACCTACCATATTTTTGCATATTATGGACCCATGCACAAAAAACATATATATAGCACATAGGAAACTAATGTGTGTGTGTAGGGGGTTGCACAGTTTGCAAAAACATATATGTATTTATTATTTACATTATTTGCATAAAAATACAGTATTCATTTTATTAAATTGACTAATACACATAATACAAATATTTTCTATACTAGTTGCTTGTCTTTTAACTTTTATAGTACTTTTTGCCAAAAGTACTTTAAAATGAGTCTTTTTTTTTCTTTTATTGCCTCTGGGTCTTATATCAAGCTTAAGACGATAAAAAATACCCATTTTTCTAATACTCTGCTATTGCTGTTTTTCTATTTAAATTATGAAGAAAAAAAAAAAGGCAATTAACTGAACTGTTTACACTGCTTATTTCTAGATAGTAGGATTATTAAGTAATTTTAATTTTCTTCTTATTGTGTTTTTTCCTGAAAGCTCTACAAAGAACTGCATGTAAATGATGTTTTGTTAACAATTTCTAATTTCCAAGTGAACCATTTGGAAACAGGCTGGAATCCCACGAACACCTCCCCACCCTCTGCTCCTGCAATAGATATACAAACAGCCCTGAAGTTACAGCTCGGACTTGGGGTTAGCATACATGCTGAGGACTTTGTGAAAGTTACTTAAACCTCTGTCATTTTTAAAATGAGAAGACCCTACCTACCCTGTGGAGATGATGAAGCTTTGGAACTAATTTAAAGTGAGGTACCTGGCAACATCTACCACTTGTCTGTCAGTTTATTCTACTGTGGTATCTTTTGTGTTGCTGTGATGCTGGAAGCTATACTACTGGTATTTTAAACACCAGCAGGGCCGTCCATGGTGAACAGGTTTCAGAAGAGCTTCTAGAAGGAGGACAGGTAGACCAATTCTGAATGGTTAGTCACTGAAAACCTTATGAATAACAGTGGAACACTGTCTGATACAGTGCCAGAAAGCGAGCCCTTCAGGTTGGAAGGCACTCAAAATAAGACTGGGGAAGAGCTACATCTTCAGAGTTGACCTTAATGACATAGATGAAGCAAAGTTTTTGGGACCTTCATTTGCTGACAGGGCACAACTAAAAATGAGAAGAAACAGCTGCAAATATTCATTAATAATAGGAATGTAGGACTCCTGGTGTAGTGCTATAGGACCAGCACTGGACTATGAACCACAAGGCTGGCAGGTCAAACCCACCTCAGAAACCCTATAAAGGTCGCTTTGAGTTGGAACCGACTCTATGGCACTTAACAACAACAATAGGAATGTGTAAAGTATGACTCTAGGAAAATTGAAAGTTGTGGAAAAGAAATGGAATGTGTAAAGATCAATATCCCAGGTATTTATGTGAGCTGAAATGGACTGGTATTGGCCATTTTGAATCAGAGAAGCAGGGAACCATGAAGAGAAATGGCATGGCATTCATCTTCAAAAAGAGCATTTCAAGATCTAAAAGTATAATACTGTCTGTGATAGGATAATAGCTATACACCTACAAGGAATATCAGTTAATATTACTACTATTCAAATTAACAAACCAACCACTAAAGCCAAAGATGATGAAATTGAAGAATTCTACCAACTTCATTGGTGGTGCTGTAGGTTAAGCACTGGACTGCTAACTGCAGGGTAAGTCACTTCAGAAACAATACACAGGGGCATTATGAGTCAGAACCAACTTGATGGCACTTACCATCACAACCAACTTCTTCAGTCTGAAAACAAACATCGATAATTACTGGTGATTGGAACATGAAAGTTGGAAACAAAGAGGAAAGAATGGTAGTTGGAAAACATGGCCCTGGTGATAGAAACAATGCTGCAGGATCACATAATAGAATTTTTTAAAACCAGTGACTTATTCATAGCAAACATCTTTTTTTTAACAACCTAAAAGCCAACTATACACATGGGTCTCAACAGATGGAATACACAAGTAACAAACTGACTACATCTGTGGGAAGAGACAATGGAGAAGCGCAATATCATTAGTCAAAGCAAGGTCAGGGGCTGACTGTGGAAGAGACCATCAGTTGCTCACATGCAAGTTTAGGCTGAAGCGAAAGAAAATTAAAACAAATCCATGAGAACCCTGAGTATATCCCATCTGAATTTAAAGATCATCTTGAGAAAAGATACGATGCTTTAGACACTAATGACTGAAGATGACAGGAGTTGTGGGTTGACATCAAGCATCATACATAAAGAAAGCAAAATGTTACTATACAAAGACAGGAAACAAAGAAAAGAGCAAAATGGATGTCAGAAGAGGCTTCTGAAACTTGCTCTTGAACACAGGGAAAATAAAGCAACTTGAAGAAATGATGAAGTTAAGAGTTGAACAGAAAATTTCAAAGGGCAGCTCAATAAAACAATTTCAATTCAATGAAATGTGTGAAGACTTGGAGTCAGAAAGCCAAAAGGGAAGAACACACTCAGCATTTTGCAAACTGAAAGAACAGAAGAAAAAATTCAAGCAATATTTAAGGTAGCAATATTTAAGGATCCTATGGGCAAAATGTCTGGGAGTCCTGGTATGACACTATAGGATAAGCACGGGACTGCTAACAGCAAGGTCGCCCACCAGTTGCTCCTCGGAAACCCTATACAGGGTCGCTATGAGTTGGAACTGACTCCAAGGTGCTTCCAACAACAATGGGCAAAATATTCAATGAAGCAGGAAGCATCAAAAGAAGATGGAGGGAATACAAAGAGTCACTGTACCAAAAAGAATTGGTCAATATTCAAACATTTCAAGAGTTACCATATGACTCCAAACCGATGCTAATTATGGAAGAACTCCACGTTGCACTGGATGAAAGAAGTCCAAGCTGCACTGAAGACACTGATGAAAAAAAAGGCTCTAGGAATTGACAGACTACAAATGGAAATCTTTCAACAAACTGATGCAGCTTACTGTTTCAACTACTTCAAAAAACTGATGAAAACTGAGGCACTCAACTTGTCTATGCTAGGAATTTGGAAGACAGACCTGGCTAACCAATTGGAAGAGAGCCATTATTTGTGTCCATTCCAAAGAAAGGAGACACAACTGAATGTGGAAACCATCAAAAAAATTATCATTAATATCATATCCAAGTCAAATTTTAAAGATACTAAAAGCAGTTACAGTAGCACATTGACAGGGAACTGCCAGAAATTCAAGTCAGAGTCAGAAGAAAACATGGAATGGGGATACCACTGCTGACATTAGATGGCTCTTGGGTGAAAACAGAGTATCAGAAAGATGTTTACTTGTGCTTTGTTGAGCATGTAAAAGCATTTGATTGTGTGGGATGATAACACACTATGGACAATATCGTGGAGAATGAATATTCCGGAACACTTAATTGTGCTCATGAGGATCCAGTACATAGACCAAGAGGCAGTTACTAGAACAGAACAAGGGGCTATTGAATAGTTTAAAATTAGGCAAGGTGTGCACCATACTTACTCCTTTCACCATACTTATTTAACCAGTATGCTAAGCAAATAATTTGAGAAGCTGGCATCAGGATCGGAGAAAGAAGAATGTAGCATCAGGATTGGAGGAAGATGCTTTGTTTGCTGGAAACGAAGAGGATTTGAAATACTTACTAAAGAAGATAGAAGACCACAGCCTTCAGTATGGATTGCACTTCAATGTAAAGAAAATGAAAATCCTCACAACTGGATCAATAAATAATATCATGATAAATGGAGATAAGACTGAAGTTGTCAAAGACTTCATTTTGCCTGGATCCACAATCAGTGTTCATGGAATCAGCTGTCAAGAGATCAAACAGCTCATTGCATTGGACTTATCTGCTGCAAAAGACCTCATTCAAGTGTTAAA